ATAGTCTAAAGTGATTGGTAGGTGTAATGTTGGTCTGGATCCTTTGGCTGCTTGGCTGCTTATTATAAAATGAATATATTGGGGGGATTAGTCCAAATCATTCTTATATTATATTATTGAGGCTTGTCTAGATGGATACTCCAATGCAGTTCAATAATTAATCAGATGAAAATTTTTGATTGACCGAAGGGTGTCCCTCACAAGATTTTGTCAAAGGTCAATTGCCATGAGTCTGTGTTTAAAAAATTAAAGTCTTCGGCATGGAGTTTGCAATTGTATGGCTCTAACAATCTTAAGGAATACATCTTAAGAAAATAATTAAATTCCTCAAGAATATGTGGCCTCACAGCTCACAACGATGACTCAGTGCATATATGATCTTGTCAATAATAAAACTGCAAGGTTAAAATAGAAAAAATTGTCAAAAATAACCTTCATAATAAGGTCACTTCAAAAATGACCTTCACTATAATTTTAACAATTTTTAGACAATTTTTGGCATGACTTAACAAGAATACCCTTTAAACCATTTAATCTAAATTAAGTGGTCCTACTTTTTTTTCTCTCCCACCATTTAGATAAAAATTTTAAAATCAAATCTCGATGTAGCTATCTCCCTGTCCAACTCTCCAATGCCATCAGGGTATATATCTCGTTGTTTAACTCTCCATTGCCATCAGGGTTTATATCTCACCATCTAGTTCTCCAACGCCATCGAGGTCTATATCGCCATCCAACTTTCTCACCATCCCAAGGTGCAAAAATGACATCAAGGTATTTGTTATGGGTTCTTGGATTTGTTTTTTTATATTCGTAGAACGCAAAAGTTGATGGGTAAATTATATGAGTTTGGAAACTTAAATCTAGCTGGGAGTAGCGAAATCAATTAGTTTATAAGCAATGCGTGAATAATTTGGTAGGCATTGTGTTACTAGATATCAGTATGTGACTAGATATTAGCAATCATAACCTATTTATTTGGCATTACGTGACTGAATATTAGACAATGTTGAACTAGATAGAAGGCAATGCGAGTAGATAATAGGAATTACGTGAGTTATGCATTGCATGACTTGTTTGTAGGCATTGCGTTGTTTTATCTACCTAATGTTGAAGCTAATTATCTACTGATTCAACCTCTTTAGTAACAAATTCTGTAAAATTAGAAGAGAATTAGGAATGCTTAATAACCAATTCAACCACCTTAATTCCATTTATATCGGTGCAGAAAACCATCCAGATTCAACTAAAACAGAACTCTAAATTTCCCTTTAAAGCACTTAATGCATTGATTTACTAACTAACCATTTTCATAAGAAAATAAGCCTAAAACCATTGAACACCCTACCAAGAGTCAGCATTCATGCCTATAAATAAAGGGAACCATTATCCATTTTAATCAAAATAATTTAAAGGAAAATATCAAAATTCTAATGGCATCCAAACGTTCCACATTCGAAAGTGGGAAAGGGGTTGCTGGTGAAGAGGATATCCCGGACAATGTTGCAGCACATCTGGTCAAGTTGATAGACCAAATTGAGAAAATGAGAAAGACATGCGTGGATTGATGGATTAGTTGTTGGTTAAGACAGAAGTCCCAAAAACAAAAATTCTGGGCAATAATAAGATTTTAGCCAAAATTTATGAAATAGTAGATGAGATGAGGAAGAAATGAACTATGGTTCATATTTTGTATCATCTATTTTTTTTCGGCTAATGAATAAAATACAAATATTGATTGATCACATATTTTCTTGGTTTAATTTATATTATGCTAAATAACTTAGTTACTTACCCTAATTTCTTAATTTTCTATTTATATAAGAAAAGCAAACATGAGTGGATGTTAGGCATTGCGTGACCTATTATTAAGTATTACGAGACTAGGTTATAGGCACTGCATGAATTATGCAATGCATATCTTCTGTTAAGACATCGCGTGATTGGTTTGTATGTATATCGTGACTTGTTATGTATTAGGTGACGTTGGACCAGTACATGACTAGTTATGTTGGCATTGAGTGACTTATTATTAGGTATTGCGAGACTAGGTTATAGGCACTAAGTGAATTGTGCAATACATATCTTGTGTTGAGACATTTATTGACTACTTTTATGCATTGCGTGACTGATTTTTATGTACTGCATAACCTGTTGTTATGTATTGCATGACATTGGGTCAATACGTGACTGGTTATGTTGGCATAATGTGAGTGGATATTAGGCATTGAGTGACTTATTATTAGGTATTGCGAGACTAGGTTATAGGCACTAAGTGAATTGTGCAATACATATCTTGTGTTGAGACATTTATTGACTACTTTTTATGCATTGCGTGACTGATTTTTATGTACTGCATAACCTGTTGTTATGTATTGCATGACATTGGGTCAATACGTGACTGGTTATGTTGGCATAATGTGAGTGGATATTAGGCATTGAGTGACTTATTATTAAGTATTGTGAGACTGACGGTGCATGACTTTTGCAATTCATCTCTTGTTTTGAAACTTTTGTTCACTAGTTTTGAGGCATTACGTGAATGTGTATTAGACATTGTGAGACTGACTTTATGTTATTTTGTGACTTAAGCATTGCGTAAGTGGTTTTAATGCATTGAGGGGCAATTTTTTATAAATGGATTGATTGTGATACTTATTTTCTGTTAAATTTCAGCGGCCTGTCAAATGTGAAGCTTATGATTACATACGGTGGTCATTAGGTTGATGACACTTACAAGGGTGGTGAGACACGAATAAAAGGTGTTATGAGTGATTTGTCATTTTTGAGCCTAGTGAAGCTAGTTGAAGAGATTGTTGCGGTCAAGTCACATAATAATGAAATCGAGCTACATGCATCACTCAGTCATGCCACAAGGGTTTCGCGCGCAATTATCAAAGATGATGAAGATGTAGTAAGTACTCTGTGAGATGAAAGGGCAGTTGTTGTGTTTGTGACAATTAAAGCACGAAATGAAAATGATATTCCACATGAAACATAGTATCCAACATAGTAATCACCTATAACAAAATGTTAATTATTTTGGCATACCACACCATACATTTCCTAACAAACAAACATGGCAATCACGTTTGACATATCCTCATGAGTTTGAGCAACCT